GGCAAGCCAAACTACAACAACATGAAGGCTAATAGGCTCAAGGCTTATAAGAGACTTACAAATAAAAGCCTTAAAGTAACATAAAGAGTTTATATGATTTAGGTTAATATGTATATGTCTGTGTGTTAACTTGCAGGTGTATGTTATCTCCCCAAAATTCTGCTAAAGTCGGCTTATTAGATAGACACTCATACTAGCCTAAATACTTTTGTTGCATGGCTTAACAGCAAGTTAATAAGAGTAAAGATGGCTTTAAACTTGGTGACAGGTTTTCATCCAAGTTGTTAGCCAATTTAGATTATACCTACCCAAAAAATTGGTTTAAAAATGCAATGTCTGTTGATTCCTGTGTACCATAACTTCCAAGGGTTTTCCCTTTGGTTAAGGATAAAAATAACATAGCTTAAAAATGGTAACTATGCTATGCTTTGGTTCTCATAAATTATCTAAAATAATGGTTAAGATATATAAATGAATAAATATAAATAAGATTAGTGCTTAAATATGTCCATAACAACATCTATAAGTCGCAAAATGTAAATTCAAATATGCGTGGCTTAAGACTTATCAAAGATAATATATTTTGTCTATTAAATGTGTTTTCATAAATTAATAATACAGGTAAAGGTAAAGATTACATTCTTGAGTTGACTAAAAGTCAACTTCCTAATATTAAAATAATATATTTTTAAAAACTGTTCCCCTAAAATGGCTGCCCTTGGCCCTAAAAAAACTACTGGATAAAACTCTAGCTAAAAAAGCAGCTGCCAGTTTACTTCAGTTTTCTACCGATGGGTAGCTTTTCCAGTTCCCCCACCTCAACAAATGCTATTTAAAATATACATATACACCTCAGTGGTTCCACCACCTGCTTCACAAGTGTAAAGTCCTGAGTTCAATCCCTGGTACCAAAAAAAAAAAAAGTGATAAAATATACATATACAAACTTAAGTTGGCTATAGTTAAAAGGTTAAGTTTTCTATGTCTAAAGCAATGATTTCTTAAGATGCTAAAATGTTCTTGGTTAAATTTATAAAAACTAGATTTAAAAACAAAGGTTTTTATATTTTACTTAGATAATGTCTTATGTTTTCCATTGTTAGGGGTTTTTTGTGGGGTTTATTTGTTTGTTTGTTTGTTTTTTTCCAGTAGGGATCAAACTCATGACCTTGCACTTGCAAGGCAGGCATGGTGCCACTGAGCTAAATCCCTGGCCCTGTTAGGCTTTTAGTAATTTAAAAACTGGAGTTTTAAAAGTTAAAGATGATTTAAACGTCGGCTTATAAAATATTCTCAATAATCAAGTCATGATTGGTTAAATGAACAACTATTTTCTTCGTTTATAACACCATATCCTCTACTGGCAGATGAATAAAGAAAGCTTCAAAATTTCATAAAACAGCTACCAAGTACAGCAACAATTTTAAAACTTGCTACCAGGTTTCTCCAATGGCCTAAAAATGAGACTCTTCAACAAAAGGGCCATGAAAAAAATTTTCCCTAACACAATCAATACTCAGATATAAAAATATAGATATTCTAATCTACCCCAGACTCCCAAAACTCTCATGATACAAGATAGCCTTGATTCATAGATAAATATTCTCAGGTCTGAGATAAACATGTCTAACTAACATCGACCCTGGGGTACCTCAGCCAACTAGCCCCCTTTGTTAGAAACAAACAAAAAACACTTACAATTAAAAACAGCAATAGCCAGGTGTAGTGGTGCACACCTGTGATCCCAGCACTTGAGAGGCTGAGGCAGGAGGATCACTGCGAGTTCAAGACCAGCCTGGGCTACATAGTGAGTTCCAGGTCAGTCTCAACTACATAGCGAGACCCTGTCTCAAAAAAACAATACAACAACAATAACAACAACAACAAACAGCAATGCCACCCAAAATATGAGACAGATTCCTACCCAAGGCTATAATTACCCTATTGTGTTAAGAGATACTGACTGCTTGCTACTAACTACTCCTCCATCTCTTTGTCCTCTCCATCTGTCCTGTCATGGTAAAGAAAGTCCAATGCAGGATACTCAATGAAACCTCAAAGAAGTATTTGAATGCAGTTACTCTAACAAAGGCTATAGGTGACCCCAGCTAGTGGCTTCCCATTAATGCATAACTTCAGAAAAGTGAATGGAGCCTAAGTACTATGCCCTCCAGCTATAGATGAGAGGGTAAGATAAGCAGTGAGGCAGGTGAATGAGAAAGGATTCCAGGAAAGACCAGCCCAGACCAAGAAAATTGAAAACCTAGACAGTCACCCACATTAAGAATTCAAAAGACAAAACATAGTATCTCTATTATGAAAATGTGTTTTTAAAAGAACAGAAACAGAAGATCAAGAAAAAAATAGAATCCTACTGGAGGGTGATCAGTCCTCCAACTGCCTAGAAATGGGGACAGCAGGGGCTAAAGAAAGACAGTAGAGACTCGGGTAATTTCAAAGTACATGGGGGGCTGGGAGGTCAGGGCCACAGAGTGGGCAAAAGCAAAGACACTCTGCGATGGCCACTATTTACTGGGTTCACACAATAATCAGGAGTCTCGGTGACTCAGAGGGTGGCAGTGGTCCTATATATTAATGAGGATATCAGGTCTCTGAGGGTCTTATGTTGACGGTGGGGGTAAGGAGAGCATTCTTACAATAGTAGATGGGACAAGATAGGCTAGTAAAGAAGTTGCCCTTCCCCCAGGTGAAAATTTTCTCTTTTTTTATCACTACATGGTTCTGGAAGAATCAGGGTGTCTTTGGCTGATGTACTGTTGTCCTTGAGCATCACAGTATCATGGGGACCATTAAGACCTCACCTTGTGACTGGAGGTAAAATGGAGTCCTGTTTCCACGTGCCATAGCCAGCTCTGGGGCAGGGTGACACTGGGCCGTAGCCAGATATAGTCACATTTTAATTATGAAATGATTCTGCCCCAAAATTGTGTAGCATGGCTCTCAACAGAATCCTGAAAGAAAATACAACTCAACAAAGACAGAGAAATTCTTTATAATGGTTTCTCTGCAAAAGAACTCAATAAAAATATGAGCTCAATAAGAAAGATGAGATTAAATTGAAAGCATGACAGGAAAAGAGAAACCTACAGTTCTAAATAAATAGACTAAGGACAAAAGAATACTGACCATAATGAACAACTTCTGTTTCTTATATATACACCCTCCCATATAGACAAAGGAGACGCAGCCCTGGGTCCTGCTCATGGGAACATCACGAGGACTCAGCAAATAAACTTCCTAAAGAACACATGGGGATCTGCTGCGCTGCAGTGATAGCAGTGACTCCAAACTCTGCTCTCATAACTAATGCCACTCACACTCCAGGGGAAGGTTTTCAGGCAGGAGGTAGACAGTGTAGGTGTCCTGGCTGTAGGCATACAACAGACCTGGAGCCCACAAGGGCATCCTGGTCTCACCATAGCTCCTTAGCATCCTGACATAAGCCTAAGAAAAATAATTCTACTCTTAGCACACACTTCATTGAGCCTGGACATGCACCAGAGGAGCACCTGCTCTAGCTGCTCTGAATAACCCAGGGTAACCCCCTATCATGAAAACATCATTAGCATTGTGGGGGTTTTTTGTTTTTGTTTTTGAGACAGGGTCTCACTGTAGTTGAGACTGACCTGGAACTCACTATGTAGCCCGGGCTGGTCTCAAACTCACAGCGATCCTCCTGCCTCAGCCACCCGAGTACTGATTATCATTGTGTTTTGACCCCCATCTCCCACCCCTGTGGCAGCCATGCTAGTCCCTCTAGGGCCCAAAACACCCCTCCTGATGAGAGGATGGAGACTCAATCAGCTGAATAGAGCTACATCCCTGATCACTCCCCAGATTCTAGCAGAACAAGGGAAGCCAACCCTGGAGCTCACAGTACTTGCTACCTCTGGCACTGCCCACCCATTCTGTGCTTGAGGCTTTGCTTTCATTACTATCAGTTACCACCTCTAGGAGCTGCCTGTTTGGAACTCTCCTAAGTGTACTTTAATTATTTTATTTTATTTTGTTTTTGAAACAGCGTCTTACTATGTAGTCCAGCCTGGCCTTGAACTCACTATGTAGCCAGGGCTGTCTTCGAACTTGCAATGATTCTCTTGCCTCAGCCTCCTGAGTGCTGGGATTATAGGTGTGCACCACCACACAGGGCTTCCAACTGTTCTTTAAACTCAAACCTAATACAGACGGGCCAGCCTGAGTCAAACTCACCCTCCGGTTTTCTCACAGGCTTTCCTGCTCTGTGGAGTGTACTTTACCTTCCATAATCTCTGCCTTTCTTACTACTGCTGTGTGCCTGGCTCAAGTGTTTGTTTGGGACACATAGAACCTGGATATCAGGTGAAACAAACACACCAATCCAGTAACAGTTTTGCCAAAAGCACTTAAGAATGCCCAATGCTACTGTGGTGGACTAACCAATGATCAACTTGGAACGCCCAGCTGAACAGAGTCAGTGTGGTTCTGGTCATGTAAGACCCACCTGAGGATTGTTGCCAGTGGCATAAAAAGATAACTGGAGGGGAAGAGCCGATCGTATGCTTTTGATTTTCCTGGGGAGACTCACCGAGGTGAGTTTTTCTGATGTGACTTGACCATTCTCATCAGAGGAGGAGCTTGGGGCCTCACTGTTGCTGAGAATGGCTGATGTTCTTGTCAGGGGAGGTCTGGTCTTTGCCTCAAGTATCGATTCCTGGCTCCAATGCAGATCCCTCAGCCTGATGGTACAGATCCTTTACCCTGCCGGTGCAGACTTTCTAGATTCCACCACTGGCCTTTGGGCCTTCCTGGTACAGATCTTCAATATGGACTTATAAGAGACATTGCCATGGGATCTAGGCCTCTGTCTGGACACCTACAGGACACTGTCTTGGGCTCTTGGCCTTTAGCTGGACTTTTGCAAGACATTGCCTTGGGATCAAGGGCCTCAGCTGGATTCTTCAGGTCTCTAGTATGTAGGCAGATCTCTTGCACTCCTCTGCACTTGGCTTTTTGGGTGAATATTATAAAACCCTATAATTTATGTGTTCTGTATTAAATCTATTCTCTTGCAAACCCCAACTGCGACAGGTATGAAGGTTTTTGTGTCCGTGTTAATATCAGAGACAGACTGGTCAGGAGTATGTTTAGAAAAGGTGTAAGAAGCATTAATTAACTTGTTAAAGCACCCATAACAACACTTTAGTCAATGACAGATCACATCTATGGTGCTGACCCCATTAGATTAAAATGGAGCTGAAGATTCCTATCACCGAGGGCCACCATAGCTGGCGTGACATCATAGTGCAGCTCATTCCTCATGTGCATGTGTGCTGCTGGTGTAGATGATGTTTCTGTGCTGCCAGCTGGATACAGGTGAAGCCAGGTGATGACGCATATTGTACATAATACTAGATAACCATAATGGCTGTGTTCCTGGCTTACTGTACTCTATCACCGTTATTCCAGATTGTACTCCTACTTAGAAAAACAAGTTCAGTAAACAGTCTGCTGTGTGATACCAGTAGCAGCCTTGTACACCTTGTGTTTACCCTATCTCTTGATTGCATCGTTTTATCCTGTGCTTGATTTTGTTTTGCTCATCACAGCTTCTTAGCATAAAAATCCACTCACTGCTAATGTTGTGAATAAGAGCCTTTGTTGAGTGATTGACCTGTAAACAAAATTAAAGGTGATTAAGGACTAAAAGGGTGGGAAATCAGTGATGGTTGCTTCTCCATAGTCAGGCATAGCCCATTCCACAGCTACGATCCTGAAAAACAAGAACAAAGTGATGAACTGAGCATAACAGCTCATGCCTGTAATTCTAGCACTCAGAAAGGCTGGGGCAGGAGGATCACAAATTCAAGTCCGGCCTAGACAAGTTAGTGAGATGCTGTCTCAAAATAAAAAAACAAGAAAAAAAGGCAAGGGATATAACTCAGTGCAAAGAGCCTGAGTTCAACCTCCACTATAGCAAAAAGAAAAAAGAAAAAAAAAAGTGATGAAAGTTTTCAAAGGACCTGCTTTGTTGAAGGGAATAAGATTATGATAAAAATCTGAGAAGGGCCTACAACAATGTGGTTAAACCTTCAATGATATGGATTGAAAACCAGACAAAGAAATGTGTCCCTCTCAGCACCATGAGAAGCATAGCCAAAGCAAAACTCATGAGGTTCAAAGAAATGGCTGGACCCTCTATGAGAACTGATGTGAAGGTAGGTAAAGTTTGTTTGAAAACTCTAGATAAGGTGACTGTGGAGGAAACTCACTTGCCAGAGGGAATCTTCAATACAGATGATGCCTCCCTCTTCTGGAAACAGATGCCTAAAAGGACTTCCATCTGTAAGGAGGCCATGTGAACCAAACTCCTCCAAAGAAGCTGCATCCATAGCAAAGATCATATGATCATATGATTCATCAATGTGATTCTCAGGTATTTCTGCAAGTGGGAGTAAACATATTATCTGCACAAAGACTTATAAAAAAGAACCATAAAGGAGCTTTCTGGAGTGGCAACATGTTCTAGATCTTGTTTGATTGCTATATACAGATTGTTAAATGTCATTAAGTAGAACATATATCTGTGGATTTTATTTTATGCAAATTTAAAAAATTATGTTTGTGCTATAGTTACTTAATGATACTGCCAATGTTGGACAGTAATTTGTCCAATTGTTCACAATCACACTATATGGTGAACATTCTTGTGCACATATTAGGTCGCTTCATATAAAATTACTAACGCTTAACATTTTGACCTATAAAAATAGCAAGTTTCAGTGGTCTTACCTTATAATGGTTTTATTATGTCGGATTATTTCCTGAGGTTCAATTTTCAGAGTTGGGTAACCTGAGCAAAATTTATGAACATGAACATGTTCATATGTATTGACGAATATTATGAAATCACTTTCCCTACTAACATATTGGTATTTATAAATATATCCTTCTACCAACCTTTTGTTTAAATATCTGATTTTAAATATATGATTTTTTAGATTGTTTATATTTTTGTAACCAAGAAAAGCTACAATTCTGCTGCTACTTGATATGGCCGATGACTCAAGAAAAAAGAGCTTTATTTAGTGCTAAAGAATGAAGAATTGGGAGCTTTGGCCCCTGATTTTCTCAACTCAAGGGAGCTGAATTAGATATAAGATAGGCATAAACACAGAGAGAAGATACTACAGAGGAGGAAGATTCATACCTTTCGTAGGACTAGGCAGAGATCACCCAGGAACTTGGCTGCTACCTCTCCATTCCTCTTGTGCTCTGGTGTTTCAGGTCATGGCAGCCAGCAGCTGTCTTTAACCTTTAAGGGGGAGAGGCACTAGGAAAGTCTACCTCAGATTAAACCTGCATCATAGTTTTGGAGAAAATAATTTCTCAAACGATCAGCGGGCCTATGCGTACAACTGAGTAGAATCTGACACACAAGGTAGCAAAGGCACAGGCACAATATGGAGACAGATACCAGCTTTATCAGCTTTAAGACACTCGACATCAGACAGCTGTGGGCCCAAGGGAAGGATCAACATTTTCAGGAAAAGTGACCTTCAAGACCCTGGAAGGTAACCTAGGTAACCGCTATAAAGCCACATTGCAGACCCGTTATTGACAGCAGAGATACAGGGATACTAATAATATAATTTGTCCCCCTGCATGACCTCCAACATTAGTGATTTTTAAGTCAACTAAGAGCAGTAATTGCTTACTCCCGGAGGACAACAATCCCTTTTGTCCTGGCGTATACCAGTATGATGCCTCGTAAATTTAATTCACTCATTCAGGAAACATCTCTAAATTTACACAAGGGGACCAGTAACTGTGATCAGAGCAGTAGACATTCAGAAAACTCGCTGACCTTGAGATGACACTGTCTCGAATATCCTTTTATTATACAGGCATTTCTCTTAACCTCCGCGTTTTAAATTCCCAGATTGCGATCTTCTCACTTCTACGGAGCTCGGAAAGTTTATCTTTAAATGTATTCACTATGTAAGCACCGTTCCCTTTGGACTGTTAATAATCCCTTAAAATACACGAAGAGCCGCCCTTTAAGGAATTTAGGTCGGGCAGAGTTAATCAGTAAAATCTGGGGCAGCCTGGTGGCCAAGGACTTTTCACAAGGCTCAAGAGGACAGCGGAGTCCTTAACACTCTGAGTACAGCAGCAGGGCAATAAATATGCAAATCGCGGCAGCTAGGCGCCAGCTCCAGTGCCGGGAAGGCCCGCAGGTTCCTAACACACCACGAGAGGGCGGGTCATCTGGTGGGCGGGGCCTCGTCTCGCCCCACCCGCGGCAGGAAAGGGAGAG